GGGTTTAGGGTTTAGGTCTTCTTGTAGCCTTAGGATCTCGGGGGTCTTAGGGGTTCTAGTAGGGCTCTATATATAAGCCACAAAACTTTTCTAGCCTTAGGATTTAGGGTTTTCGGGTTATGGTAGGGCTTATATAAGCCACAAAAAAAGGTTAAAGGTTACCTACTACTCAGCCCCCAAGTAGCCGAAAGTGTACTCGACTTTGTTTTCGGCTCCGGTTTCGGCGCAAGTGAAGTAGTAGTTGCCCATGGCAATCGCTAGGTCGCCAGTCAGCTTGGTCTGGTGGTTCCTCGGTCGGCCCTTAAAGGCCTTAGAAGAATACTCGTAAGTAAGACCCTCTTAGGCCCTATAAGGCCAAAGAACACCCTAAACCCTAAACCCTAATTAAACCAAAATGTGTCAAAGCCTTCCCTAGGTTCTCAAAAACGACATTAGACCAGCCCTTGCCGCCATTGATGGCGAAACCGGAGTCCTCATGAGGGTATGGGGGTCCCCCACAGGGTCTCGGCTCAGGCTCAGAGCGCAGGCTTTAGGGGTTTAGGGTTTAGGGCATTTTGGAGTCCTCGGCGTGGCCGCCTTCGACCGCATCGCTCCCAACGAAGTAGGACATGGCATCGGAAGCACTTGGCCGAAACTGCGCCTCAGCTGCCTTTGTTGGCTTGAAGAGCACCTCTGAGTGGCCGTACCCGTACAGCTCCCCCGCTGCTTCCGCAGCTGCGGCAACATAGTCTCCCCCCTCAAGGTACGTCTTGGAGATCTGCTTGATAGCGCTTGCCCAGGCTTCTTGTGCCTTCTGCACCTCTTCTTCCGAAATTAGGTTGGCAACTACAGTGGGACTTCCAGCAGAGACATATGGCACGGAAGAGTGGTGGAGAAAGATACGGAGCTTGCCGTCTACGTTCTTTTTGTAGCCGAAGGTGTACTCAACTTTGGTCTTGTCACCGGTTGCGGCACAAGTGAAATGGTAGTTGCCCATCGCAATCGCAATGGGACCGTTTAGCTTGGTCTGGTGGTTTTCAAACCTTAGTCGCTTAGTTCATAAGCACAACAAAGTGTACGCTTTCACTTCTATAAGGGGTTCATTTAATGTTACAGACCCCCCCAAAAAAGTGAAAAAATGCACTCCTGCAGCTACTAGAGAGTTCATAAGCTTTCAGTTCCATAAGGGATCATATTACCCCAAAAAAGTCTAAAGTCGATAAAGTCTACTCCTTCAGCTACTAAGAAACACGACCTCCGACCAGCCCTTGCCGCCGTTGATGGCAAAACCGGAGTCCTCGAGATGGCCTCTTAAGGGACAAGAGGAGGGACCCCTAGGGGTTTAGGGTTTCTAATACCCATATATAATCCCTTATATACCCCTTATACCCCCAGAAGGGACCCCCTAATCCTAATACCCTAGTTACTAGTTTGGGTTTAGGGTTTAGGGTTTCTAATACCCTAGTAGAAGGGACCCCCTAATCCTAATACCCCAGCTAGGGTTTAGGGTTTAGGGTTTAGGGTTTCCAATACCCTAATATCACCCTTATATAGTCTCCCATAATAGTCTCATAAAGCCCTCCATATATAACCCCCAAGGGCCCCTTTTCTCATATATAGTCTCATAAAGCCCCTACAAAAACCCCCAAGGGTCCCTTTTCTTTTGAGGGTCTCTCCCTTAGGTCCCTCGAGCCTCCCTCCACCGCCTGGTGCCCCACGAAGTACGACAGGGCGTCGTTGGCGCTTGGCCGAAACCTGGGGCTCTAAGCCTATTTGCCCCGAAGTAGTTCCTTGGGGTTAGGGTCTTAGGGTTTAGGGTTTGGGGATTACCTTAAAGGGATCCATAAGGGTTTCTCTAGGGTTTCTATAAGGGTGCTATATGGTTCCTTTTTGGGATTACCTTAAAGGGATCCATAAGGGTTTCTATAGGGTTTCTATAAGGGTGCCTCTTTTGGGACCCACAGGCCCCTAAGTAGTTCCTTTTTGGGATTACCTTATAGGATTCTAGATATAGACCATAAAAAGGAACTACTTAGGGGCCTATGGGTAAGCCTATTTTTTGTATCATGGGCCATGGGTGTATCGTAGCTTCACTGGGCTTCTAGGGCAACATAAAATCAAAAAAAGAATCTCCTTAGACAAGACCCGGGAAGCTGTGCTTCTGAAGCCTTGGTGGGCTTGAAGAGCACCTCCGAGTGGCCGTAGCCATACAACTCCCCCGCTGCCTGGGTTGCTGCTGTAACATAATCTCCTCCCCCAAGGTAGGTCTTGGAGATCTGCTTGATGGCGCTGGCCCATGCTTCTTGTGCCTTCTGCACTTCCTCCTCTGAAATCACAAAGGAAGTCTCAGGGTCAAAGGGCACGGAAGAGTGGTGGAGGAAGATTCGAAGCTTGCCATCTTTCGCCGTCTTGTAGCCGAAGGTATACTCCACCTTCGTCTGGTTCCCAGTTTGGGCACAGGTGAAGTAGTAGTTTCCCATGGCTATGGCAATGTTACCGGTCCGATTTGTCTTGTGATTCTCGAAGACGACATCTGACCAGCCCTTACCGCCGTTGATGGCAAAACCGGTGTCCTGCGCGGGCTTAGGGTTTAGAGCTGAGGCTTCAGAGCGGAAAGGGCTTGGGCCCAGGGCTTAGAGGGCACAGTTTTTAGGGTTTAGCAAGTCAGTTTGGATGAGCAGAAGGTTAAAGGTTTAGGGGACCTCCGCATAGCCGCCCTCGACCGCATCGCTCCCAACGAAGTAGGACATGGCATCGGAAGCACTTGGCCGAAACTGCGCCTCAGCTGCCTTTGTTGGCTTGAAGAGCACCTCTGAGTGGCCGTACCCATACAGCTCCCCCGCTGCTTCCGCGGCTGCGGCAACATAGTCTCCCCCCTCAAGGTACGTCTTGGAGATCTGCTTGATGGCACTGGCCCAGGCTTCTTGTGCCTTCTGCACTGCCTCCTCTGAAACGAGAGGCTTTGCATCGAAAGCATCGGGGTCCAAGGGTATTGAGGAGTTCTGGAAGAAGATGCCCACCTTGCCGAGCTCATCCTTCTTGTAACCTTAATTGCTGATGAGTTCTTAAGCCCAAAGAAGCGTAAACCGTCAGTTCGGTTTAAGGCTTGGGGAGTCGTATAGGGGATAACCTTAATTATCCCAAAACGTATAAAATGCACCGATTCAGCTGGTAAGTAACCGATTGTAAAGTCGGCTTCGGTGATGCCTCTCGTCTCGGCACTTGTGAGGTAACACTTCCCCGACGCAATCGCGACATTGTCCGCAATCTCAATCCTGAACCCAAACCAGGAAGGCAGGAAAGCAAGATTTCCAACCGTATAAACCCTACCTGGACCCTGAAAGAGCGACCTTCGTAATAACTTTTATAAGGAAAATATATTTAAAGGAACCCTCCGAGGGTAGGGTAGGTTCTTCGGGGTGGAGGTCCACCCTAAAGCCTGAGGGGAAACTGCATAAACAAAAGTAATACTTGGCCGGACACTGATGACTGACTGTGACTGTTCATCCCAACATGCGAAACCTTAATCCAGAACCCTAAACCTGTTTTGAGCCCGAAGCCCAAAACCCTCAATCCCTAAACTCACCGCATTCAGATCCCTCACAGCGCCCCCTAAACCCTAAACCCCAAACCCCCATAAGTTTTCGTCACAGCCACTGATGATTGTCGAAGCCCACGTCAGACCACCCCCTGCTGCCGACAATGGCGAAGCTGGCAGGCTCCTCACCTCCATCGGTATTGTCAACCTGTTGGGGGTTTACGGGTTTAGGGGGTTAGGGGTGTAGGAGTGTAGGAGTTTAAGGTTTACGGGTTTAGGGGTTTAGGGGTGTAGGAGTTGAATTTTTAGGGGTTTAGGGGATTTGGGAGTTTAAGGTTTAGGGGTTCAGGGGTTTAGGGTTGAGGGTTTAGGTTGGGTACTGCCCCCATACAGTAACAGTCTATAAGAGGGCTACTACTAAGGGCCTTATATATCCATATATTCAGGGCTTTCGAAAGCCATTCCCGCTCGACCTAGTTGCTTCTACTGCGTTTGGGTGCTTGCTCGGCCTTTCTCTTTCTCCTTGGGCGTCGCCCCTGTGATCGTCTTGCCGA